TTTTAAGCGCAGGAATGCTGATACACAAAACGCAAGAGCCTGCTATAGCATGGCAATTGCCATGCTCCAGCAGACTCGATTTATCAAGTCTCCTCCGATGCACTGGAATTCCAGCACATCAGGGCAGCTTCTGTGCTTGCATACAGGGGCACCAAGTGCCTTTCCTCAAGTCCCAGATATCAGGCTCAGTCCCTGCTGTATGCAACCATGACTCTGGAAATATCTTTCATTCTGTCTTCCCAAATACAAAGTACAGGTCTTATTTCGGAGGTGTGTCATATGCAAAAATATATGGCATGTTCTTCATGATCATTTTTCAGACTAGAGTGAGTTTTAGGATTCTTTTGGTTTCTGTACACGAAGGTTGATGGTGCCAACTGAAAAATAAGGGAGCTAAAATAGTAGACATGTGCTTTATTTAAAAAAAAAAAACAACAACAAACAAATGCAAAACACACAAGCCCCCCCAACAAAAAAACCCCGCAATACCCTATTTTAGAAGAAAACTTCAGAAAGTCATTTTTACGTATCAGATGATACGCCCATTTTAGTGTATTTTTATGAGCCATTTATAAACATCTGTTCCAAGTTCTCTCTGGTTTTCTAAACTATACAACTTTTAAAGGGGAAATCTTGTTTCAGTATCTACTGAGGTCCATTATGTTATATATGCATTTTGACTATTACAGTGCCTAAATAATTCAGATATGAGGGAGGCAGGCACATATTAGGATAAGATAGATAACATCACACGCATAAAAAGTTGTGGCTAAACTATAATCAAACCGAATATAATAAACAAGCAAATGTTTCTAGGACAGCTTATGGCCTCACCTGAGATAAAGTAAAAATATACACGTAACATGCTGAGAAACATCTCGTGGGCACATCTGGTTTGAAGATTAAATGAAAGGCTGAATGCCTTTCAAATACAGAGTTGCAATTCCAGGCATCATTTAAAGTGAAACCAAAACAGTCCAATATGAGTATTATGTGCTTGACTTAACTCTTCAGTGTAAGAATACTCTTTTCTGATTCTCATTCAGAATCAAATAAAAAAATTCTGTAAGTATACAAATCTTTACCCACTGAAATTTAGGGCTGTAGTATTTATTGTATTAATATAGTGATGGAAGAAGAGATGCAAGCATGACTGCTCTAGCATTCGATGCTGGCAAATTATTTTGGATCTCTGCTGTTGTGTGTGTGTGGAGGTGTCACAAGAGAAGTAAGTGATGCGCACACAGTACCTCTCCCTCTTCTGACTCCATAGCAATCCACTTTTTCTCCACCTTTCTTCTCTTTGTGAGGGCCTCCATTGCTGCTTCTGCCATCTTCTCCCCCACATTTAACTTCACCTTTTCCTTCAACTGCGGCCTCTTTTATATCCTCAACCCTGAAATTCCCAGAGGTCATGCGAATGTGCTCAGGAAAATCAGCATTTTCCAATAGATAACTTGGATCTATTTCCAGGAAATGGGATGAGAGCTTTAAAGGTCCTCTGGCTGATGTAATGATTTCCAAGGGCTACAAATTAACAGCAGTATCTAGTTAATCCTAAAGCACATATTTTACAAAATTTGAGTTATTAAGTCAGAGGATGATGTGTCCCATTTTCCATTTTGTTAAAAACTTTCCCATTACTGAGAGTTTCAACCCTCCAGAAGCAAACACCATCCTACAAGACATTTTTGTTGTTTTCTAGGTACCCTTTTCACATTCAAAAGACTATTCAGCCTTAATGTCCCCATCCATAAAATGGGGATAACAGTCATTTGTCTATCCTCAACACTTTTAGATGTGCTGAAGTTTAGTATTTGCTGTTTGTGAAAAGGTTTAAATACTTAAAACAAATTTTTTAAGTTACAGTTATCAATCACTAACATTGTCACTTGAAACTAACTAACTAACTAAATAAAAAGAACAATATTCAATTATCCTTATAATATTATGATATAGATTCTGATCTAAATTTGGTGCTCTAACTTCAACTGGCTCACAATGTTATTGTGATAATTTAAATCACAATACCTGATGTGAACAGCGTGAGATATTTGCAGTTAGGTTACAATTATTTGAACGTGAAACTTACAACTTTCATGAAAGGACTGTGAATAACATCAACTGCCTTCTTTAAATCTGCACTACCAAAGGATTTAAGATTATGCATATATGCAGAAGGGGGTGACATGATAAAGACTAGAGAAAAGGTAATATACACACTGCAAATATCACATGAATTTGGGAATCAGTCATCTTGATGCATGTAAATTCAGATCCTAATTTCACCTATTAGATGCCTAAGGGTAATTCCATTTCTCCCTGCTCATGTCCCTGAAAAACCATAAATGCAGCAGGTTAGTACGTCTTCCTCCTCACTTTTGGAGCTTAGTCTTTATGCTAGATGAAGACGTGTTACAAAAGCAGACAAGTTAATTTTTCAGAGACAAGCAAGGTAGAATAAGCTTATGCTTAGGCATCCAGTAGGTGGAACAAGATGCAAGCCACAACATGCCACATCCAGTAGGAGAAGAGTGGCTAATCAAACAAAGTCCATTACAATGCTTCATTCCCCTTGAAAATAAAGTTGGCCGTAATTGTTTTAATGCAGTCCAGGTTCCACTCAGAAGTGAAGGCAAGATGCTATTCAGTCCATGACCCATGTTACTTTTCCACTACTAATGTTTAAACAGAACCACATAGTAGAAATAGTTGTTCAACTTGAAATAAAAAAAAACTCAGATATTTTTATACACCAAAAAACACTAGTTGTTACTGAAGATAATTAAGCCACAATTTTCTGTTCAATGTTTTAGCTATGCAAATATCCACTTGTACCACTGATTTCCTAAAAAGACTGCACACTAAGTGTTGACAACAAGCTAAAAAATACCAGGACCAGCTGACTAAACACAGGCAGTTGGATGAAGAACTACTTCACAGTTAGGGTGGCTAGGATCTGGAACCAACTTCTAAGGGAAGTGGTGTGGCTCCTACCCTGGGGGTCTTTAAGAGGAGGCTTGATGCCTACCTGGCTGGAATCATTTGAGCCCAGTTTTTTCTCCTGCCCTGGCAGGGGGTCGGACTTGAAGATCTACAAGGTTTCTTCCGACCCTACTTCTAAGGTACATTTTTTAAATATTCAGGAAATTATTTTTTTTCGTAATAAGTATCATATACATCAAGACCTTGTTTTCTTTAATATGTAGAATAGCTGTTCTAGATCAAAAGATAACATTCAATGTCATATGAAGCTCTTAAGAAAGTATTTAGATGTGTAGCTGCATGCTTCACATTTTAATTCTCAAGCCTAGGGCACTTACACCTACAAATGTTGCAAAATATAGGCAATCACAGCCTTGCAATACAAGGAGCCAATTCCAACTCTATTTTTCACCTGTTACTAAGAATTAGGCAACTTTTCCACATCAGTATTTAAAAGTTAAAAAACTCTTCCATATCAAACACTCTCTCTTTAAATTCACTTTTTTTCAAATGGAGAGTCTTCCTCCTCTTTCATAGTACGCAGAAAATAACCTTGCCACTAAGCAAAAAAAAAAAAAGGGGGGAAAAGCTTGGACATACTTATCTAATCCCTCCCTCAGACCCAATCTTGGGTATTTCAAGAAAACCTACTAGTGAAGACGAAGTCTATACTGATTCTAAGACTGCAAGTAGGCAACAGGATCAGTCTCTGCCAAACCTCTCGTTACCTTTGATTTAAGACAGCAATCTGAATCTTTCCCAAGTTTGAAAGACTAATACAATAACCCACTACCATCTACTCTAATATTAAAAAGAGCCAGTGTTCTCTTAAGCCTACCAGGCCATAAGCCTTCCATGGTTAAGGCACACCATTTTTTGCAACCAATAGGGCATGGAGTGAGGTGGATGATATCACATCAAACAGCTGACTCTTTTTTCCAAATGACCCATTCACAACTAGGTCAACTAGAGGCAGCTTTTTTTGCACAAATCCAGAGTAAAGATTAAACTGGAAGCAGGGACAAGAACTCAGCTCTCCCCTTCAACATGACTTAAAATCCAAAAAGGGTTTGGGGCTTTGAATTCCAATCTCATATAGGCACTCAACTCATGAGACCAAGAAACAAATTTCAGACTCTCACTTCAGCATTTCCTGTTGTCTGGTTGTGGTAACCCTGTCATGAGCAGCCTATATATTATAAACACTATTCTTAGGTACTTAAGGGTAGAAACATGTCACCTGATGTCTCATTTATGCCACCATAAATATTTTTATGGCAGCACAAGCGTTGAGCAAATATTGCTACCCTTTGTCACACCGCATCAGAAGAAAGTCAGTGGTGTGACAAAAGGTAGCAGTTTGCAGCTTTATTGTGGCAGACATCTATTTCCTTACTGGTGGGAGAACATGGGCAGTGTGAGCTGCCTGCACTGTCCAGCCACTCCAGGCAGGTCCTCTTGAGGCTTGAGGACCCTAAGGCTTAGAACTCCTGAAGCAACTGCCCAGCTTTCCCCTCTTACAGAGAGGCACCCCAGGAAACTTTGGTACACCCATCTATCTATAAGTGATGAAGCCAGGGTTCCCCACTTACAGAGACTGGCCACTCATCTCCAGGAATAGTGTCTGTAAACAGGGAAGGCCTCTGTGGTTCCCAGCATGAAGACACAGGACCCGAGGAATCCCCAGTGCTCTATGCCTCCAGTGGGGACTGGTTTTACTCAGGAGGTCCACACTGGAAATTCTGAGGACTCATCTAGGTAAGTGGGGAAAGTCAGGCTTTCCCTGCTTACCCAGACCTGCCGCTGGAGATGCCGGAAGTGGATCCTGGTGAGTGGGGAAAGCCCTACTTTCCCCACTTACTCAGATGGGCCCTGAAAGATCCCAGGTGGGGTCTGGATAAGCTGAGAAACCCAGACTTTCCCTGCTTATCCAGACTTGCCCCTTGGATCTCCAAGGACACACCTGGGTAAATGAGGAAAGCCAGGCAGGTGCTCTCAGGGATGGAGGGACCCAGTTCTGCCTGGGAATTCCCAGGGCATGCAGAACCAGGCCCCATAAGCCCAAGGGAACATATCACCCTTGTCCTACCCCTTGATGGTGACGTACAAGAAGCAATGTGTGTTTGGCCCATTCAAGCAGATCAGCTGATCTGCTTCATTCACTGACATCTATTTCTAGCCATACTTAGCTCACACATTGCATAGGGAATGTATGTACATAACTCAGTATTTTGAATTCCACTCTAAAAAACAAACACCTCGAAGTCAGGCATGGCAAAACTTAACATCATCATGCCTAAACCCTTTTATTGATCTGGCCCTTTGTTTCTATGCATCTGCCCTATGTCAGTGTGGGTAAGACAGGGAGAACAGAACTTTCCTAGCTCAAAGAAGTATTATTAGGTACTGTGAGATACTATGGAGACTATAAAGTACAGAGTACTGGGGGCTGTGCAAGAGATTTAATATGTATCCTACTGTTTGTTAGTAATCACTGAAAATGGAGCTCAAACATTTAGAGGTACAAGATATAATTTATATGCATCTTCTTTTGTTCTTAGTTCACATCAAGAAGAGTTGCTGAATTTATTACATACTGCTTTAAAAATTTACCTATTAGTATAACTTTTACCTCTTCTTGTCCAAGTTGCTCCATAGAATCACAATAAACTTCACTGTCTGAATCACTTGTCAAATGCTGAAATCCTGAGACCTCTTCAACACTCTCTTCATTTGCACCTGTACGTAATTAATAGATGGCCAAACACTTACATGCAGTTCTGGCAAACTAAGCAATAACGCAATACTTAAGTGGGCTGCACTTCATACTGTTTGTATGGTAATCTTGTTTCACAGAGTATATGAAAAATACATGTTATACAAATCAGATTATAAAAAAATACTGAGGGGGAAACATCCTTAAGTATTAGGTGCTTGCCCATTATAAAGATTCATTTTTCATTGTTTGCTTCACTTCCTTTCCTAAGTGCAATATGGAGTTGAACTTTAGAATCAAGTTACTGGTACTCTAGAGCAGCGATTTTCAATTTTTTTTTTTTTTTTTTTTTTTTTTTTTTAAAAGAGAGTCAAGGCACCCCTCTATAACTGTTGTGAATTGACCAGCATTTCAAATGTTAATTTATTTATTAGTGCTGCAAAGGGGCAAGGCGATTGGGTGCGGAGCACCAGCCAGACCAAGATGAGCCTGAGTCTGTGCCTCCTTCCTCACACCTCCCAGCACCCTTTAACAAGATTTTACACCACCCTGGTTGAGAATCACTACTCTTGAGCAGGTGTTGGCAACATATGTAATGTGGAGCCACTGGATCTGGCTCGTGGAGCTGGAGGGTTTTACCTGTGCCTACACTTACGTCACAGATGAGCAGTGAGGAGCTGTGGCGGCCAACTGGAAGACATATTTTATGTGCTGCTGCCATGTCTCCCCTCACCCCTGGCTGCAGCTGCACTGCGGGCCACACAGCTTCCAGCTGCATTCACACTGCAGTCCACAGTCTCCTGACAATAGGGCAAGCAACAGCAGAAACATGTAGACACAACACAGCTTCCAGATGCCTGGCCACTGTGCAGCTCCCCACCCCACCATCTGGAAACTGTACTGGCTCTGGGAAATGGGGCGGGGGGGGCGGCCGCGGCAGCAGCAGAGGGGAGTGCCTGGCCCAAGCATAGGCATAGGCAAAGCCCATGGCAGACCACAGCTAGATTGTTCCAGCCCAGCTTGTAAAAAGGTAGTCAAATGCTGCTTTAAAAATAAAAAACCAAAAATCTTTAGCTCATGAAAACAACCGTTGGGAACAATAATACAGATCTCAAATGATTTCCACCTCATTACTGTGTTTCAGATTCAAAATACATGAAATTTTAAAACACACAATAATTAAGTTTCTCTAAGTAACATCCTTTTTGGACCTTCTCTCTTCCTGTGAGAGATCTAGAGAATCTCAACCTGTACTCCAATTTTAATCCAATTTAATATTTTCTTTCTTAAAGATTCTGTGGCTGAAGGGCACCTGCACAATCTCCAGCCTTTCATATTCAGAGACTCCCTAAAAGCTTTGTTTTGTTTGTTTTTTTAAGAAATATTCCCTGAGCAAATGATAATGTATTCATGTAAGGACAATACCTTGGTGGACATTGTTATCAGTTACTTCTAGACTTTGCTCCATTTTCTTTAATTCTTCCTCCACACTTATGCCATTCAAGGCAGATTTTGTCTGGGTGCCATTCTGTGTATCTGGAATAAAGCTGTCCTTGTAACAGCCATTGGTGACAATACGTTCCAAATCTTTAGCAGCCGCTGTGTCTGGCTTCACATTCTTATATTCTATGAAAGAACAACAAAACCCTGTGCAAATTATAAACAAAAAGCCACGTGCCCAATGGTGCAAAATATCTTTTCAATAATTGATTTTCTGATCTGCTCTGTGAATGTCTAATATATCTTTAATAGTCAGAAACAAATTTAAATATACAATTTTACTTCAACTTTTTCGCAGCTTAGTTCTTGTTGCTTTGAAAACCTTAAGTTTCAAATGCATTTTTTTAATTTGGCTTAGATAGCAAACATTTTTAAATACACAGCAAATCCACTATAGACCTCAAGAGAAAATTTGAGAGAATGTCAAATTTGCTTGAAGAAAAAATGGTCAAATATCAAGTTCTAAATGCATAAATTCAATTTTTTTTCTAATTAGAAATCTTTACAACCCCAAAAATAATATCACTGAAAACTCACTTTAAGTTTTCCCACTGAAGATGAAGTAAGTCTGTGTTTATATCCTATGCAGCTATTTGCACCAATACAACCACACACAAGAGAAGGAAATTCCACAACTAAAACAAAATAATAATACAGAGCATTTCTTACGCCCTTGTTCTGCAAGGAATGAGGACAGCCACATATTAAAATTAACAAGGTTACATTTGAACATTCAGGAGACTGCTTTCATGGAGACTGAAACATCTTGCAGGGTTGCCCTTAGTCTTAATCTTGCAATCCAGGTTGAAAAGTGCAGTTATTCTTCATGTGTAGCATGTGTGTTCTTCAATTAAAGAAAAAACACCCTCATCTACTTGGGTATAACACATGACTTCTAAGATTTTCTGGTGCAGAGGGGAACATAAGGCCTGAGACTCGATGGGGGAAAGGAGGAGGAAGCATAAAGGATCCAAGACTAGCAGATATACCATTTTCATTTAGTTGTAGGTCTTTTTCTTCTTCATGAACCTCTTCCTCCTCTGATTCTGCTCCACTATCACTGCTTTCAGCTTTACCATTCAAAGCCTTTGGATTTGGAGTGGAAGTCAAGGCATTGCCAAGGTCTAAAGACAGATTTATTTAAAAAAAAAACAAGAATCTTAATACTTATTCTCTAAAGCTAACAGTTCTATAATAAAATATTACTAAATCATTGTCTATAATATTTTCAGGTGAGAAAATTTTCCAAATAGACTCAACATTAATTCCACCTTAGCCTTGTTTCATTTTTTTTAAATGAAACTATATAATGAAGAAGATTAATTACAACATCTTTTTAACTCCTGATCAATTTCTTCATAGGGTATAACTTGCCCGAGTGACTTAAGCAGGTTGTAACAGTGATTTAAGCAGCCACTCACAATCATACACCAATCTGTCTGGAGAAGAACACATTAAAAAAAAATGCAGGTGCACAGATTCCAATGGTTAGATGCTGAAATAAATACACAAAATACAATACTTGCGTTTGAAAGTCTTATTACATAAATATTTTAAAAAGCAGATTTCCCTGGAATAAACATTTGACTCAGTCTGGAGCTACTGATATATGCATGCATTCCACACCTGCAATCACTCCCAGATCACAAATTAAAATAAACATTTTTATCTCAATATGCAATCAACTACATGGTAAATGTTGTTTAAAAAGAGAAACAGGAAATTTAGAATGTTTCTATACCTCTACCAGATTATATATATTGAAAGCCATACATTTAAAGGATACAGAGTAACAATACATAGTAAAAGTACAAAACAATAGAAGGGTAGAATTACAGCAGGATCCTTACGTTCTTGAACATCTCGACTTCAAAGCTGAATTCTATTTTCATTGCCAATCTTAACAGAATTATTTTACATTACCTTCCTGAGAAATTAATTCCTAAATATAGGGTGTACTACCAGCAGCAAACAACATGCAATTACATTAAAGCTGGTAAACCTGCTCTGCTACTTTTGCTTTGGGGTAATTCAGTGCTCAGAGTTTTGTGCTTAAACTAATCTTCAAGTGGAAAGGCAGATCAGCCTCCCACGCTCCTCTTGTTTCAGGGCTTGTCATCCTCTCTAAAAATGTGTTTTTTGCCTACAGTTAACTAATGCACATCAACTATCTTGAGCTAAAAAGTGAAGACAGAGCGCCTTAGATCTGCACATGTACCACACAGTAATCCTCAAGTGCTGTCTCGATTTTGCTTACTTTGAGGTAGCCCTTAAGCATTAGTCAGCACAAGGTAAGAAAAACAACAACTATAACAAAACTCTTTCAGTAGTGAAAAGAACCCCCGGAACCTACAGCCTGCAAGACCACAAATTAATATATAGTTACTTGTTCCCCATACTCCCATGCAAGAAAGCTTCCTTGCAAGGAAAACTACTTCACTGAAAGCACTTCTCCACCTTGGGAGAAAGAACCCACACCACACTTGGAGGCTTGGCAGTGCTACGCTAGCTAGCAGTGCATCCAAAAGAGACTTGGGAGTCATGATTGACCACAAGATGAACATGAGCCACCAATGTGATGCCGAAGCCGGCAAAGCACACAAAACTCTGGCCTGCATCTTCCAATGCACCTCAAAACAAGACCTGGGAAGTCATCCTCCCACTTTACTCAGCCTTGGCAAAACCACAGCTGGAATACTGTGTCCAGTTCTGGCCTCCGCAATTCAGAAAGGATGTAGAGAAGCTTGAGAGAATCCAGAGGAGAGCCACACAAATGATTAAAGGAGAAAAGGGCAGGCCCTATGAGGAGAGGCAAGAGGCATGGGACACTTCAGTCTGAAGAAGCATAGGCTCAGGGGTGACTTGGTGGCAGCTTATAAGGGGTGTGCATCAGGAACTGGGAGAGCCTGTTGGATGCTGCCCCAGCTCAGAAGCAGCATCCAGCCAGATCCAACATTTCCCCGAGCCTGCCCAGGAAGCAATACCCCATGCACTGTCCCCGCCACCTGGGACCACCTGGGAATGGTCTGGCTTGCCCCAGGGCAGTGCACGGAAGTGGCAGGAGGGAGGCAGGGTGTGTTGGCAGCTGGAGAAAGTGGCAGGGGTGGTGCATGGGGTGCTGGAAACCCCGGCAGGCTTGGGAAAGAGTTGAATCTGGCAGCTGCTGCCTCCACCTGGGCATCCCCAGGGGGTGCTGCTGCTGTGGAGGGAAGGACAGGGGCCCCCCACAGCTCAGGGACCACTCAGCCCAATGGCAGCTTGCCCCTCTGGCCACAGGAGACATGGGCAGACTCCATGGAGAGAAAAACACAGAACCAGGTTCAGGCCCCTCACCACTTCTGTCTTCAGTCCGCGTCTCCCACGCTGAGCGACCAGCTGTCAGATTAAAGGCTGTAACATTACAAGTAGTTACACTGCAAACTAAACTACATTGGGATGTGGTTTATTCTGCAATGTAACAAACTCATATACAATTTTTTTTTTCAATTTAAATGTAATGTATGACCCAATTAAACTGCAAAAATAGGCAATTTCCATCACATGTACAACTGTCCACGCAGCTTCAGAGGCAGGGGAGGAAGAACTAAAATCTAAGGGAGTGATTTTCAGACAGGGTGTAGGGGTACTTTGGGGTGCTGCTAGATTCTTTGAAGGGTGCCACAATGTGAGGGGATAAGTAAGGTGTGACAAGATAAGCAGATAAATTAAGCTCAGGCTTGTCCCTGCCTAGATGATCCCCTACCCTGACCGGCCAGCCCCTGTGTAACGAGGTAAGCCCTGTAATGCAGGGGTGGTTCAACCTGTGGCTGGTGGAGCCTTAGGTATCCAGCCCACAGAGCTCCCTTCTAATCAGGAAATTTGGCAGTATGGAAGTGGTGGCAAAAATTACAGCTCCACTGCCAAATTCCCAAACCCCAAGCAGCAGGTTGGGACCAAGTAATGCCCTTCCTTCCTCCCCACCCCCCCCACCATAGCTGGATGGGGCTGGGCCATGCCTCTTTCCC